AACCTAACTTAACCTAACCTAAAGTAAACAATGAAAATTAGAGCTACAAGTTCGTGTTTTTTTCAATAGAGCAGAGGAGGCGTGTGACGTCACTATGACATCACATTGTTGATGTCGGTACAGGTTTTGGACCCTACTAGAGTTCAGGGCTGTTAGTGTGCTGTGCCGTAGCTGCTAGACGTGGTTGGGGACACCAGAGGGGGGGGGGGGTTGTGTCGCTGGGGACCCCCTGTCCACCCCCCTTGTCCCCAGGGGGGGAACAGGGGGTAGTGGTGAGTATAACTACCCCTCCCCCCCCCCCCTGCTACATCTACTGACGCTCTCCATGGCTGATTAGATCAAACAATTAAATCACCTCTTAGTGACACTCTTGAGAGAATATGAATATATATATATATATATATATATATATATATATATATATATATTATATATATATATATAGATGATTCCTATCTTAAACTGTCAAACTATGTGTGTGCTCACTGGTGAAAGCTTGGTTTCATAAGCGGTCGCTATATCACACTCGTACTCTATGTGGGGAAGGTCACTGTACTGCTAAAGATCACTTAAATAGAACTAAAATGATTTAAAATGACATTGTTGTTGTTCAAAATTCCTGAACTAAAGTCTAAAGTCTTCAGTCTTAAACATTGGCTAGGACTAAAGAAAGTTCTCAGTGTATATAAAGATGAAAGAGTATAGCACTTAAAAGTGCTATAAGACTGCTCATCGCCCAGTCGATAGAGCGTCGACCTCACGTCTGAGGTCCAGGGTTCGAGACCCCATACAGCCCGGGTGAATGGAAAGTGAATAGAAGCACTTCCTTCCACCCTGGCAGATAGTACCTTTTGACATCCTGACCCCTGCATACCCCACCAAGAAACTAATCACAAACAACCTTCATGCTCAGCTTGCTGCTAAATTAAGCACCATAGAACACATTCACAATATACAAGCTGAAAACAACATAGCACAGACCATATACGCTGACGTATCACTCAATACAGCTACAGGGAGGGCAGGAAGTGCTGTTATTGCTCATCAGCCCGATGGCAGCACAATTCAAAGGAATGTAAGAGTTAGTAACTGGGCGTCCACAATGCAAGCTGAATTGGTAGCGATACTGGTAGCACTCGAAATTATTGACAACATTGAAGTAGACAGCTTAATTATTTCCGACTCCCTTTCCTCACTACGAGCAATAATCAGTTTGCAATCAAGTAATAACGTGCTTGTCTTGGAAGCTAGACGTAGATATATAAGAATACTTAGCAAGAGGGTAAATATAAAAATGTTGTGGATTCCTTCTCACATTGGCATGCAGGAACATGACAAAGTTGACGCCCTTGCTAAGGCTGCAGTAAATAAAGACAGTATTGAACGGAATCTTGAGTTATCAAATAGGTCCCTTAAAAGTGTCATTAGACGAGAACTCCTGGATGGATTTGAAGAAAGTAGAACTGTGTAAACTGGAACTAGCAGGTCCATTGTTCATCACAATGAAATGTGTGAAGTAAAACATGTGTATGGGGCAAGTAACAAAGTCAGTAGACTAACAGATGTTGTCACAGCTCGTATAAGACTTGGCTATAAGTGTCTCTGGCAGTTCGGCTTGTATAGGAATCTAGATGAAGTAAAGTGTAAAGTGTGTGGACAAAGACAGGGACACACACTCGAACACTATATCTTGGATTGTAGTAAAATTGAGCCATTTAGAGATAAATCTAAACTCACGCTGTATGATATGGCAACCTATCTTATTACCATGGATAAATTACCTGAAATCCTTGCACTGTATCCATATTTCGCTTCAAGTAAGTAAACGACATATGAGATTAACGAAACAAGTGGTGTATTGTGAGGACTAATAATAAACAGCAGCTCCCTTCTGACTCTGTAATATCCCCATTGTTCAAACAATTATGTATTAGCGATAAGACCAACCATTAATGTATAATGACTTACTGTAAATATATAACTCTTGAAATAGAACATTCTATGTTACTAGCTGACATTATGATTAGAAGGTGTGAAGGATAGATGAAATTGTTTATGTAATAATCTCCATTGAGGTCTGATAAAGACCTTTTGTGCTCTCTGTAATCCTTCTTGCGCTACCGCTCACAGGATAAGTATGGGGTGCACAATAAACTAGCCCCCCCCCCGGCGGCAACAATCAAAATTTCAGTGTATGAGGATTACCCCCCCCCCTGTGTATATATGGGTCATATCTGCAGTGTTAATACATACATGTATTCTCTCTCTGCAGCGTTAATACATACATGTATTCTCTCTCTGCAGTGATAATACATACATGTATTCTCTCTCTGCAGTGATAATACATAAGTAGAGATGAGCACAGGGAAGACGCGCCACCATGGAAGTTGATATTACACTGCTACTAACTTTCTAAATAAGGAAACCGGTTTGGCTCTGTCTTAAGCTAACTTGAAAACAAAAAACGGTGTTCGAGTGAGCAACAATGACTCTCGAATGAATGAATGACTCTTGAACACACAAGCCAGATGCGCGTATTCCCTAGTCGCCACTGCCAGCCATCACAGCTCAGTAGATCTTATCCACGCGACACGTACATACGCGCGTCGCAGCTTCTGACAAATTAACATAAACTCATAAAATATTAGCACATCCAGAGATCTGTCTCCGAGCTCTTATCTTTCCCACCAGAGGACAATAATGCTTAGTGAATCGTCTTTCTTCCTCCCCGCAGTAGTGAGGGGGAAATGGCTTGATTAGCCATTCACATTTCAAGTCTACTGCGGGCTCACCATAGCCCGTGCTCCTTGGAACTTTTTTTTCTTCCAGGTAGCGAATCTTAAATAGCAACAAATTTACACTTAAATTTGACATTCTAGAGGTGATATATATATATATATATATATATATATATATATATATATATATATATATATATATATATATATATATGGCCTCGTTTCTTGCAGGTCTGGGTTCGATCTCCCGATCGCCCAAGTAACTTGGGGCATCGTTACTTCCCTCCATCTTATCCCAAATCCTTATTCTCATATATCCCTTCCAAGTCCATATACCATATACCATATACAGTCGCAACAGCTTCGCGCTTTCTTCTTATACCTTACCATCCCTTCACGGGTTTCCTATTGACTACGACGATTGCAATTTCCTTGATTGTGATTGCAGAACGCGCCGTTCGGCCGAGCGGACAGCACGCGGGACTTGTGATCCTATGGTCCTGGGTTCGATCCCAGGCGCCGGCGAGAAACAATGGGCAGAGTTTCTTTCACCCTATGCTCCTGTTACCTAGCAGTAAATAGGTACCTGGGTGTTAGTCAGCTGTCACGGGCTGCTTCCTGGGGGTGGAGGCCTGGTCGAGGACCGGGCCGCGGGGACACTAAAAAGCCCCGAAATCATCTCAAGATAACTCAAGATAACTCAAGATACATTTAACAAGCGTCAGGTCCTTAACATCGTAACAATAACTTCTGAGTGTTAATGCTTCAACTTCCTTCCCAGGTAAAGAAGACCGTAAGAAATATAGAGCAGATTCGTGCTAAAAATCCTCTAACCCTTTCTGTCATATGGAATATAACATGTTTACAAGAAAGCCTTATAGATCCTTAGGCATGCATTTCGGGCGTGTTATGCCCGAAACGCTGCGTGTATTAGTAGCTTTAGGCTTCAGGCTTTAGGCTTTAGGCTTTAGGCTTCAGGCTTCAGGCTTTAGGCTTTAGGCTTCAGGCTTCAGGCTTTAGGCTTTAGGCTTGCTCTATCTAGAAATGCAACATTCTACTTGTAACTCATTTTAAGTGTATGTTCCCCCTAAATAAACATTATTATTATAATTATTACATCCCTAACTTTACTTATGTCTACATTAATGTGTGTACGCATTATCCACCTCACAATCCGCCTCTCTACCATACCATAAGATTGTAGAGGCGTCTACACACAGCTGTCGCTGGCAGACGAGAGGAGGTCGTCTTGGGCTGATTACAGAGGGACTTAGTGATAAGAAGCAGCTGTGTTGTGTACAGCTGTGTCGTGTACAGTTGTGTCGTGCATTAGCACGTGCTGGAAGGAGGGGGGGGGGAGGGGGAGGACAATGAGGGGGAAGAAGTAGGATATATATATATATATATATATATATATATATATATATATATATATATATATATATATATATATATATATATATATATACTCAACGAGCCTATATATATATATATATATATATATATATATATATATATATATATATATATATATATATAAGGCTCGTTGAGTCCCTCTTAACAGATAACAGCGTGAAGTCTGGTCCGCCGCCTGGGACCTGTCTACAGGCACGCTCGATGTCTTTTGGGCTCACCATAGCCCGTGCTACTTGGAACATGTTGTTCCAAGTAGCGAATCTTAAACAACATAGCCCCGGGTCTGCAAATAACACCCTACATATACGCCCTGCATCACGTACATACGCTCACACACTCCATATGTAGACAAGAACCTTAAACACCAGTGATAGAGTCAAATGAGAGGCGGGGCCGAAGAGCCGCAACTCAACTCCCGCAAGCACAATTAGTAAGGTACGTATTGTACACGAGCCCATTGACACGCGCACCAACAACTAGGCGTAAATAATAATGAACTACGCACACACATTGCTTTACAACTACGCATAACTCTACTAGAGAGAGAGAGAGAGAGAGAGAGAGAGAGAGAGAGAGAGAGAGAGAGAGAGAGAGAGAGAGAGAGAGAGAGAGAGAGAGAGAGAGAGAGAGAGAGATTGATCCAAGAACTCACAGCTTGATCCTTAATTAAGACACCAATAGTAAAATTACACAATACACAAACTCCATCAGGTTAGTACACCTACACCTACACTCCGCCACCACCTCATTACCCTTACACAAGGAGCTGAAGCCCACACACACACACACACACACACACACACGCAGCCACCACACCGCACCGCCACTCACCACAACACCTCAGTTCTCTCACAGAGGCGGAGGAGAGCGGACCTTTGCGACTCGCCTCTCTCCCAACCATCACTGAAAGCCTCGGCCACCACCAAGATCCGCCCACAGACATACATATATATGTATATATATACATACCTAGCACCTCCCCAACGCTCCCATGGATTATAGACGTGTATGTTGATGCGTGCAACAATTTCCGAGTGATACATTTTGATTATATATGCCCCAAATTATGATCTTGTGAATACTAAGTGTCGGCGAAGCCTAATCGCTGTGTATACATGTGTAAAGTGTGAGGATGTGCTAATCTTAAGATGGATATGCAAAGTGTAAAAGCCTTCCTCTGGAGATGAAATTGATTTATACTAAAAGATAATTCTCACACGTGTTAAAACAACAAACTCAAAACAATCAACAGCAAAGAAGAAAAACAAAAACACCAGAAATCCCTAATCCTATTCTCAGGGAAAGTTGATGTGTATTGGATTAATCCCACGAAAGAAAAGAAATCCCAACTGACTTTACTTACTGGAAGTATTGAGATAAATTAAAATACTCATTAATCGTGTTACGAAGCCTACTGGTCTACTACTAAAATCCCTACTACGTCCCTCTAAGTAATCCCTCATGCCCTGGGGGTGTGGTTAGAGGATTATGGTGGAGCACAGAGCCCTCTGGGGGATTTTTGGGATGATTCACCAGCTCCACCAGGACCTGTGCTGACTACTGGAGGAAAATGAGGTGAGATTAATCATTAATTGTTCGCATAGACGTTAACGAGTCGAGGTGAGTAATTAGTCAAGGAAAATTAATCCCTCCCGTTGATCGCGATTGTGACAATAAACACATGGTGATTGGTGCATTTTAGTTAAAAATGATTTTGTTGATGGTTATCTTGAGGTTATCTTGAGATGATTTCGGGGCTTTAGTGTCCCCGCGGCCCGGTCCTTGACCAGGCCTTCACCCCCAGGAAGCAACCCGTGACAGCTGACTAACTCCCAGGTACCTATTTACTGCTAGGTAACAGGGGCATTCAGGGTGAAAGAAACTTTGCCCATTTGTTTCTGCCTCGTGCGGGAATCGAACCCGCGCCACAGAATTACGAGTCCTGCGCGCTATCCACCAGGCTACGAGGCCCCCTCGGTTGGTTGTTTATTTATATACCATAACTCCATAATTTCCTTTTTTAATTATCTCTAAAGGCACACACGTGTTATCTACAATCAGCAAAGGAAGAATTAGGTACAAATATATTTCGTCAAATACAACTATTTCAATTTCAAAGTCCATCACATTTTGATGCCTCAAAATTTGTGCTTTAGTAGTTTTTCGTTGTAAACTAAAGAGTCTCAAGAAGAAATTAAGTGTCATCAGACTTAAGTCTAATTAAGGGTCAGACAACGGCTGGAAGAGGCAGGCAGGTGAGGCAGGTGCCATAGAAACTACCCTATCAGCGTGCGACAGGTCCCATAGAAACTACCCTATCACCATGAGTCAGGTCCCATAGAAACTACCATATCATGGTGAGACAGGTCCCATAGAAACTACCCTATCACCGTGAGTCAGGTCCCATAGAAACTACCCTATCACCGTGAGTCAGGTCCCATAGAAACTACCCTATCACCGTGAGTCAGGTCCCATAGAAACTACCCTATCACTGTGAGTCAGGTCCCATAGAAACTACCCTATCACCGTGAGCCAGGTCCCATAGAAACTACCCTATCACCGTGAGACAGGTCCCATAGAAACTACCCTATCACTGTGAGTCAGGTCCCATAGAAACTACCCTATCACTGTGAGTCAGGTCCCATAGAAACTACCCTATCACCGTGAGTCAGGTCCCATAGAAACTACCCTATCACCGTGAGACAGGTCCCATAGAAACTACCCTATCACCGTGAGTCAGGTCCCATAGAAACTACCCTATCACCGTGAGACAGGTCCCATAGAAACTACCCTATCACTGTGAGTCAGGTCCCATAGAAACTACCATATTGTCTTGATGGAATCAGACGGAAGAGGCGAGGAAACTCAATTACCTTTTTCTAGTTCCTGAACCCATTATGTGCCTCTGTAACCCGTTCCACCACCGCCCCCGAAATGGGTATGGGGTCCACCACCGCCCACGGGATGGGTATGGGGTCCACCATCGCCCACAGGATGGGTATGGTGCCCACCACCGCCCACGGGATGGGTATGGGGTCCACCATCGCCCACAGGATGGGTATGGAGTGCGTAATAAACAAATTGATTAGTGCTTAACTAAACAACAGCCTAACCTAACCTAACCTTCAAGTATTATGCATAGGAATCCCTTTTTTCCCCAGCACGTGTGCCTCGGTGAATAAGCCTCACACACACACACGCACACACACACACACACACACACACACACACACACACACACACACACACACACACACACACACACACACACACACACACACACACACACACACACACACACACACACACACACACACTGTGAAACCCCTGAGGCGAGACGTGAATACTTCCGGAAATTCGGACTGTAGAAAAATAATCGCCATAAACATTGAAATTCATGTCACGCGGTAGATAACGTTCCTGTAACGCCTGTCACGCGGTAGATATCGTTCCTGTAACGCCTGTCACGCGGTAGATAACGTTCCTGGTAGATATCGTTCCTGTAACGCCTGTCACGCGGTAGATAACGTTCCTGTCACGCGGTAGATAACGTTCCTGTAACGCCTGTCACGTGGTAGATATCATTCCTGTAGCACCTGTCACGCGGTAGATATCGTTCCTGTAACGCTTGTCACGTTGTAGATATCATTAACGTATTTTCATACTGCAGATATCGTTTATTGTATACTTTGTAGATATCTTCATTATTTCATAAAATTAATAATGTATTTGTTGATAAATGTGATATGGATTGATTACATTATGTTGCATTTACCTGCAAATCACATATTCAGTTTGTTTTCCTGTTCGCTAACTATAAAATTATCATATATCTGTTTAACACAATTAGGGTTTATTCAGTAACTAAATACAAAATAAACATATAGATAGATTTAACAAAGTAATGAGTAATAAATCAAATCCACATGGATGAGCGAAACTGATTGAACTGATTGATATATATATATATATATATATATATATATATATATATATATATATATCATATGTGGTTGGCATGCCGTCCACATACTCGCTAAACTGCTCTTCATTAAAGCCTAAATGACACCCAGCATGCAATATGGCATATCGCAGCTGAAGCGTGCATCATTGCCTTGCAATTATGCCCGCTAAATATACATGACAGTGATGCCTGCACCTATGATATTACTAGCATTGGGCCTGTCAAGACGGTCAACTACGGTGAGACGGTGAACTACAGTGAGGTGACTACAGCTCACTGATATATAACGCTGTTGTAAAACTCAAATATATAAATTTAGTTTCCATAGGGGGAGAGTGAGAAGCCGCAATCCTGGAATTGATTTTAGAAAGCATGATGTAAAAGTCTCCTCTTGATCGAGGCGGTGATCTCAGCGTGATATATATAACTTAGCTACCTAAGCCAGTCTATCCTAATATAAGCCTAGCCTATCCTAATCTAAATTGACCTTTCCAATCTAACTCAACCCGAGACTAACACAGCCTAATTTAAACAGACACAGCCTAATTCTAAGCTAACACAGCTTAATTCTAAGCTAACACAGCCTAAGTTCGGCAAGCAAATATGACAGGATACCAGTAGACTAGGGTCCGTATACACAAGTTGATTAGTGGATGAGAGGCAGGACCAAAGAGTTGAAGCCTAGCCCCCCACAACTTAGTGAGCACACACGCACACACACACACACACGCACACACACACCACGGAGGTGCTGACACCTGACAGACAGGTGTTTTCATCTCTCAAAGCAGTGAGAAAAGATGCCTTGGTTAACCTTTCCATCCGAGGGTAAATATTTGGAAAATATGTCTTGCTCGACCCATCTTCCCCTTTCTCATTTCTCTCTCCCAGTTCCCCTCTCCCTTCCCAAATCTCTCTCTCTCTCTTCCCAGCTCTTTCACACACTCTTCTTTCCTTATCTTTATTCAATCCTTTATTAACCTATTTTCATCCTTTATCTCTCCTTTCTTTGGTTATCAGGAATATTTCCGGTGGATCACTTTTGACTGTGTCTCTTCAATTAACTTTTACAGGATATGTTAGGCTGTTGTACAGGCCTACAGGTATTGGGGTGGGGGGTTACATCCAAATACAGGTAAAGCAATAGGCCTAACATACAGATAATCCTACAGGTGTTGCCACAAGGTGGGGGGGGGGGGTCATCCATCCAGAGGCATAGTGGTAAGCCTAACAAATAGGCCTACAGGTGCTGAGGGGAGTGGAGAGGCTAGGTGCTATAATTGGCTGATAATTTAAAAAAAAAATATTGATACAAAAATATAATAATGTTATTAATTACAGAAAACGAAACAGGGAAAAAACTACCTCAATTAAATTTTGCCCCGAGGGGCGAGTTTATTGGGCAGCGCCACTCGTCCTGCGAGTGGACACACCGCCATGGCAGCATGTACAATTACACTCCCCAATAGGAAGAAAACCCGCTGGGTTGTTCATCCTGTCACTTGTACCCATATAACTAGGACTTAACCTACCCATGTTACGCTTTTACAAATAAGCTTTATAGGACTGAATATAATATGAAGCTTCTTGTACCGGAGCAGAAGGATTGTACAGGATCCCACAAGAGGTAAGGAGGCAGTTATGAGGAGAAAGCACTAAGCCGGTATGACTTTGTATCGAATCCCACAAGAAATGGCAATAAAGTTTAAATTACGTAATCAGCCGCTGTGTGGTTGTTAGGAAGGCTGGTTATGAGGAATGTGGTTGGTCTATGAGCACCCGGTTCGTAAACTACCTGCTGACGCTCAGGAACCACCTAGGCATTCTGCGCGCCACCACCTGCTGACGCTCAGGAACCACCTAGGCGTTCTTACCAACATATAGGTAATCAGTGATCGAAGTGTACTCCCCTTACTGTGCTTACGGGGGTTGCGTCTCAGCTCTGGGCCCCGCTTCTCGAGCTAGCACAGCATTTAAGCACTAAAGTCGGTACATTCCCTGGAGGATTTCCGACCGTCTAAACGATGATTGGATTTACGTTATATCGTCATAGGATCTACGTTATATCATCATAGGATCTATGTTATATCATCATAGGATTTATGTTATATCATCATAGGATCTACGTTATATCATAGGATTTACGTTATATCATCATAGGATCTACGTTATATCATCATAGGATTTACGTTATATCATCATAGAATCTACGTTATGTCATCATAGGATCTACAATATATCATCATAGGATCTACGTTATATCATCATAGAATCTACGTTATATCATCATAGAATCTACTTTATATCATCATAGAATCTACGTTATATCATCACAGGATCTACGATATATCATCATAGGATTTACGTTATATCATCATAGGATTATATGTTGCATAATAAATATTATGAATTAGTGAACAATCAGTCCAATTATGCTTTTTTTCCTTGCAAGAGATATGGTTAGAAAGATTGTTATCGTCGAGGAGCCGAGCATTGAGCTCAATTAGTATCAGGTTTCATAATAGGTGGAATGGGCAAAATTGGAGCTTTTGCTCCGAGTAACGAGTAGGTCAGGTTAGTGGTGGCGAAGGTGGTAATGGTGAAAGGGTGT